ATGGTTCGAGTTACAGACCTGGTGTTTTCAAACTCACTCCAGGCACATGTGTGTTTGTGTGTACCCAAAATTCCAGGAGGAAACTGGATTGTATTGTGGCCATCCCCACAGGGGGATGATTTCTCACTTTTCCTCTCATTGTCTCTGTCTCTCTGTCTCTCTGTCTCATAGGTGCACATGCCCTATGGCAAAAACCTTAGGAAAAAGAAATGAAAGGCTAGTAACAAGATATTTACAATACATAAATCTGATAAAAGAGTAATAAAAACATATAAATAATGTCTATAAAATTAAAGACAATAACAATAGAATAACAAACCATAACAACATTCGTTCTTACCAGTAACCAGGAATATCAAGACCACAGTAAGATATATTTATAGCAATTTAGTAAGTCTAATAAATTCAATTAATCAGACAGTATTAAATCTTAGAAAAGATGTGGTTCAATGAGGTACCTACTACATCGTTGATGGGAAAGTAAATTGGTCCAACTATTTTGGAAAACAATTTATCATCTCAAAAAATTAGGTACTCACACATTTTATAATCCAACAATTTCAGTTATCTACACACAAAAGAAAATTTAATATATTAATACCCCAGTGATTTGTACAGGAATGTCTATAGTAGTACTCTTTGTAATAGCGAAAAATAAGTTGAAAATAACCAAAATGCGAATCACCAGGACGATGAATAAATAAATTGTGGCATATTTGAATCAAGAATACTACTGGATCCACAGAAAAGTCATGATATATTTTTCTGTTTCTCTATGAAAAAATGTGTCATGACTTTTTCCAACAACCTAATACATCACAAAGAAATCTATGCAACACCATAGATGAATCTCATAGACACAATGTTTAATGAACAGAAAATAAATTACAAATATACATATTATAATAGATATTATGAATAATGTAGAGTCTAAAAGCAAGTCTCAGCAAGTCTACTCCTACATACATACCCAAGAGGAATGAGTGATTATTTTCCCCAAATAATATGTACAAGAATGCGCCAATCACTTTTATTCATAATAGACCAAACCTGGAAACTACCTAACTATCATCAATAGGAGAATGGATAAATAAATCGTGATTTATTCACACATTGGAATGCTGCATAGCATCTAAGAAAGAACTAATAGCTGCTAGACTGAACAACTCTGAATCTCATAGACGGATTTCTAAGTGAAAAAAAAAAACAAGATGCCGAAGCTGGTGACCTCATCCCAATAATTTCATTTCTATGAAAATCAACACAATTAGGCAAAACTAATCTATGATGGCAAAGTTCAATTTCTTTCGGTAGGAATATCAACTGGGAGAGGGTAGGAGAGAGCCTCCTCAGTTTTGGAAATGTTCTATATCTGGATCTGGGAGGTAATTACACAGATATCTATGTATATAAAAATTCATTGAGCTGAACATTTAAGATTGATGTACTTTTCCATAACCTATGCCTTAATAGGAACATTTGTAAAAAGCCCCAGAAGATAATCTATTGTTTTATCCTTTTTATAAAGTTCAAAAATGAGTCCCACTAGAATAATAACAGTCACGTGATCAAACGAGAGGAAGAAGGAGGACAGGAGAGAGAGAAAGAACGTAAAATTCAAGATAGTGATTAAATTCATTAGTTCAAGCAAACTACACAGGAGTCCCAAGCATGAACCAATGATGACAGTGAGTCATGAACCAAAGGTTATATTGATTCAAATTTTTTATCCCTAAGGTCATTTGTACAGTATACATTCTAATCCACTAGTTATTTACCTGATGACGTTTCCTAAATTGGTTAAACTTAGGTTAACTCGGGATCCTTCTCTTAATCTGTCTCCTTCGGATCCTGAAGATTTCTGCCTCTCACTTCCTGCCAAATCCACCAAATTAATACTGGATTGTTTGGTGAAGTCTCGGTCCAGGAAAACCTGCAGAGCAACACAGGTCAGCCTGTTAAAGTGGCAGCTGCTGTATACAATAGTTTACACGTTGAAGTAGTTCTACTTGTCTTTCAGACTCGAAAAACAATTTCAGAACCGACAGCTTGAAACACCATGCGTGCCCAAAATCCTGAGGAGACTAGAGGAGAAGGGACTGTGGGGTAGCCACACCCACTGGGGGGATGATTTCTCACTTTCTCTCTCTGTCTCTGGGAGTACATGCACTCTATGACAAAAAATCTTAATTAAAAAAAAAAAAGTACAATTTAAAATGCCATCCTGTTCGGCCCAGCAGGTAACACACTGGTTAAGGGCTCTGGAGCCCCACATGGCCAATCACATTCCAAGTCCCAGACTTGGCAGCTTGCTTTCTCTCTCTCTCTCTCTCTCTCTCTCTCTCTCTCTGTTCTTCTCTGACCAAATTAAAATAAATAAAGTTAAATAAAATAATTCTTTCAAAAAAAGCCATTCTCTTTTCAGTGATGTTTACATGAATTACAGGTCCAAATGTCTCCGTTGCTGCTTCCTAATTTAACAAAGCTCTTTTCCAGTGAAATACTATTGATAGATACGAATAATTGTTGAAATGTCTCTATGGTCAACGGGCCTTAAAATATTAAATACTTTGAGACCTGCAAAATAAGTAAATGCCCAGGGTTATGTGGTCGTGTAGCAGAAAGAAAATGAATTTTAGAATCCCATAGATACCCCCACTGGCGACATAACTGGACAAATGATCTAACTTTTGCGAGTCTCAACTTCATTCATTGTAAAGCAGTGATATCAACATATTTCTGAGATGTTACTAAAATTACCGATAGATTCTCTCACCTGCCAGGCATGTGCATCGGGTGCTAACATTAGTAATGACCCAGTGAACAGAGTAGGGTTCTAAATCTTTTCTCCTTTTTTTTCTTTCAACTAATTCAAAATACCAAAAGCCACTAAACGATAATGTTCACATGTGATAAAACAAGGAAAGAGAAAAAGAGGGATGGAGGTAGGGCAGAAAGAGAAAATAAAATTCAAAACAAAGTTTTACCTTCAAGGAAAAGGACAGGAGAGGAATACCAATTGGTTCTGGGGTTAAGTAGTGGTTTTATTAGTGATATTTTATTAAAAATAAATTAATTTATTTAAAATAAAAAATATAGGATTGCCAGCCATGAGCAAATGCTGACAATGAGGCCAACCGTATATGAAGTTTATGACTGTTTTTTCTTTTAAAACAGAGACAGCGTGAGGGGAAGCGAGTGATCCCCAGCACGGATGGCCATGCCATAATCCCTTTTCCTCTATTCTCCTCTCCAGATTTTGGTTACATATACGTATATGCTCAGCATGATTTTCAAGCTGCCAGATCTGCTACTTGAATTGGCCATATGGGAATCCCACTTTTTTTTTTTTTTTTTTGAGAGAGAGAGGTTGTGTTTTTTTGTTTGTTTGTTTTGTTTTGTTTTGTTTTTAATAGGGTGTATTTGCTCACCTGAGAGACAGAGTCAGAAAGTGAGATATTACCCCTAGGCGAGATGGCCATGCTGCAATCCCTTCTCTTCCATTCTCCTCTCGGGATCTTAGACATGCACACACACACCCCTGGCACATTTTAAGTTAGGGGGCGTGTTGAACCAGGATTTGAACTGTGGTTGACTATGTGGGAGTCCAGCAATGTAACCATTATGCCACCTGTTGGTCCTGGGGTCCCGCATCTTAACCAGCAAGTGGTTATTCATAAATCCCATTAAGGTTTATGAATTTTACTAACATTGTAAAATCAAGGGAATAGCACTTAAAATAGTTTATGTAATTCTGTAAAATACAGTATCTTCTTCAAACTTCTCAACATTTGTGTGTGAAGAGCTATTTATTTCATTTTACAGAAGAGGAAACTGATACTCAACGGGAGTAAGCTACTTCCCAAATTTTAGAATGAGTAAGCCAAAGAAGTCAGGATTACACAGTCCTGTGCTTTCCTATTACTAGTTCTGTGACTTAGTGGACAGAGGTGGTAAATTGTAGCTAACTATAACATTTACCCAGGATTTGTGAATAACCATTTTTAAATCAAATAGCAATATGCCATATTTCACTCTCTGATAATCCACCAAGGACTATGTAGCAGAAAAGGGTGCTCTAATGTATCTTAGTCCAGTTAGTGGAATATTACATAAGTTATCTGGTTTCAAAGAATTTATCTTGGTGCTTCCAAGTATCAGAAAGGCACATTAGTACCTGGTGATCTGCTAGAATTATGGATCTAAAAGTAGATCATTGCTTGGTAATGAATGTGCCTGCTACTATATAATTCTCCATGATAAACCATGTGTCACTCTTATTACCTTTACAATTTGCTCCCTCATCAACTTAAGGTCAAAATTTACTTCTCAGCATAGAATTTACTTAAGAAAAAACTGCCTTTAATCCTACACACACACTTTGGAGATCTGGTAGACCTTGCTACCATTCCATCATTCATAATGGGCTTACTTAGGCCCAAATGGGGCATGGATGTTAGGAGGGGAAGGTGGCAGGAAAAGAGTAAGAGCCTCATTTCTTTCTGCTTCTGACCACATATTCACTGGTTGAAAGTACCCACCTTAATCCATAGGTCAAATCTAAAAGGATTCCAGTAATACCCTCAACCTGTTATGCCTCTGGGAACCCTTCCCCGAGAGGACGCTTGTTGGGGGATCAAGGCAACATCCTTCGCCTGAATCTCACCTGCTTGAACTGAATGGTGATGACCATATGGGATCGGCTGCTGCTGGCGTTCATGTTGGTCGAAGCTGTGGTCCTTATTTTTGTTCCTTGTTCCATCAGTCGTTCAATTTGTGCATAGTTCTCACAGGGCACTGATTTCAGATCTTCCACATAAAAGCCTAGCTGCTGGTCCTCCCTTACTTTTAGCCCACCTTTTTTTCTGGTTCTAGATAACAAATCTCTTATCTGTGGAATAAAGAATAAATAATGTGAACTTCAGAAAGGCAGGGTTTTTTGTTTTCTTCACTGTTATACCTCTGTCTACAATGCATTAGACACTCAGTCACTACTGGGTAAATACATAGGTATGAAATTTCTGTCAGTACCTCATAATATAGCTAAGTATGATATAAGGAAATGCAAGCAAAACAGTAGGGAAACTAGTTAGTCAAGTAAGCACATTTTTTAAGAATTAAAGACTATTGGGAACCAGCAGTTAGCGTAATGGCTATGTCGCTGGACTCCCACGTAGTCGACTGTGGTTCGTGTCCCGGACCCGGTGGCTTAAAACTCACGCCGGGCGCGTGTGCGTGCGTGCCCAAGATCCCGAGAGGAGAATGGAAGAGAAGGGATTGCGGCGTGACCATCCCCCCTGGGGGGTGATTTCTCGCTTTCTGTCTCTATGTCTCTCTCTGTCTGTCTGGCAAGCGCACGCGCCCTACAGTGAAAATCTCTCTCAAAAAAAAAAAAAAAGAATTAAAGACTATGTATTTTAGAAATACAGTTTTATTATTTTCAAACACTGGAGCACTGGAATCAGACTCTGAATTCTGTAAGGGTGGGGCCGTGTCCTTTCACTGGCGGGTCTACGCCAGTTCCTGATACAGCATAGGCACTCAAGAGGGGTGAGTGCTCAGACCTGCATGGGGGATTTGGGAGAGCTGCTTTGGTACATGATAAAACACTGGAGTTGGTGTCTGTAATGATCTCATAACTAGGTGCTTCTAAAGCTTTTGTGCTTGAATACTTTGTTCTCTTACTCATCAATTTCTTTCTTTTTTTCCCTTAATTCTCCTCTTTTTTTCCATTCTCCTCCATTTCTCCATCCTGCTGGGATTCTGGACATGTGTGCACACACTCTCAGTGTGTTTTTTTCAAGTCAGCAGAGCTGAGATTCAAACTGTGAGATCAGCCATGTGAGATCCTGCTCCCCTAACCATTAGGGAATGAGGCTATTCATTTCTTTCATTTTTATTTGTTTTAAAAATTATTTTTAAATTTTATTTATTATTAAATTTTTAATTGGACCAGAGAGAAACAAAGAAAGAGAGGGAAAGTGAGAAAGCAAGGCTCCAGATCCAGGACTTGAACTACTGTCGGCCATGGGAGAATCCAGCACTTCAATCATCACACCACTTGCTGGCCCCCCAAATTATTACTTTTTACTCATGATAGAGTAAAAAGCTCTTTCCAAGAGCTTCTGTTGGCTTTCTTGAGATCTATCTTAGTTCCTTATCTTCTTTGTCATATCTTCAGAAATGACATTCCAGTTGAAGCCCTGGCAATAACCAGTATTTCAAATTTCTGGTTCAAGGCAAGAGATATTATTGAACTTATGAAAATAACTGTTCTGCCACAAAATAAGACTACTCACAAATATTTTCCAATTCCAGAGGAGTCGGGAAGTGAGAAAAGTTTATGTTTCAATTTCCAAAGAATGATGAACTTAGTAACAACAGAATTAAAGTGCAGAACTTTGGGTATTTGGGGGGATTTTTCAGAAAAACTGCTGGGAAATTGTCTCTATAAGAAACTTAAAATTTGTCAACGTATCCACTCAGTAAACATCCACAGAACACCTATTCTAAGCTGAATATTGCATTGAGTCCTGCAGACATAAAGGTGCTCGCAAGGAAATAATTATTTGAAAATTATTGCATACAAATGTGCAAATAAGGGACTGAAGGTGGAATGGTGGTTAAGTTGCTGGACTCCCACATGGCCAACTGAGGTTCAAATCTTGGACCCAGCAGCATGGGGAATCACACTGGGTGAGTGTGTGTGCCCAAAATCCCAGGAGGAAAATGGAAGACAAAGGACTGAGGCATGGCCATTCCCCTGGGGGGGGATGATTTCTCACTGTCCATCTCACTGTCTCTCTCCTCTCCAGTGAGCACACATGCCCTATGGTAGAAACTTTAAAAAATAAAGAAGAACAAACTAGTTTCTCCTAGGCACTGTTAGAAATTTAAATTTTAGTACATCTTAAGATATGGTGTCCTATTTTAAATCCTGTACCTTATTAAGGAGCACAGTGAGCTTTGAGTTTAACTTATTTTCCAAAATCAAATCACTCGTGCATGAGGGAGTGGGATTTGGAACTGTGCTCTTTCTGTGCTCCTGGAGCAGGCGAAATGCACTCTGTTAGCCAAATGCAGCCCGCCACCTATTTTTACATGACCCGTAAGCTAAAATTGTTTTTCACATTTTCAAATGGTTGAAAAAAATCAAAAACAAAATATCATTGCGACACATGAAAATGATAGGAAATCCCACTGTCAGAGTCTATGAATAAAGTTCCATTGGTATGCTACTGGGCCCGCTCAGGGACTGTCTATGGCTTTGGTCACCCTCCACAGCAGAGTTGAGGAGCTGCAGCAGAGACAGCATGGTCCTCACAGCCTAAGATAGTTACTCAGCCCTTTGCTCACCAGGGTACACAGAGGCCAGACAGTGAGCTGGACCTTGAAGTTGAGAGGTTTCTTTAAGGACAGATGGAGAGCTGAAAGGAGGCCCTATCTGAAAAGATAGGATAGTTGGTGTAGATGCAGCCTGGAGCATCTGAGGATACGTGGGCATCAGATGAAGCTGCAGAGGTCAGTAGGGCTGGGTCGTCAACACCAGGCTACAGAGTGCGTCTGCAGGACGGGCGACAGGGGTCCAGCGTCCCAATGTGGATAGGCTGCACAGTCACTCGGGTTAGTGTGTCAGAAAGTATAACTTGGTTACCTGCTCATTGTAAATCTCCAGCATACTGAATGTGACCTGTATAGAGAAGAAGGCAAAGTAAGTACTCCCTTGAAACAGTCATTTAAGAAAAAAAAGTGATGTGGAAACAACATAAACGTCCAACAAAGGGAAAAACTGTTATTAAGTATATAGGGAAGCTCTATTTCTTTCTTCCTTCCTTTCTTTCTTTTTTAAATAGATTTTTGCTATAGGGGCACATGCATTCACTGGAGAAACAGAGAGACAGAAAGCGAGAAATTACCCCACCACCACCCTGAGGGGGCTGGCTATGCCGCAGTCCCTTCTCCATTCTCCTCTTGGGATTTTGGACATGCATGCACACATGCCCAACATGAGTTTCAAGCTGCTGGGTTCAGGACTTGAACTGGTTGGCCTTGTGGGAGTCCAGTGCCTTAACCACTGTGCCACCTGCTGGCCCCAATAAAGCTCCATTTTAACACGCAATATGTGGCTCTCAAATAATTTTGGGGGTTTCCTAATATGAATTTAAAACAGATACAAAGTAGTATGTGTGCTTCAGTCTCAACTAGGAACAGAAAAACGCTTTTATTGCTCGCCCTTCAATCTGAGCATGTGGAGAGCAAAAGCCTGGCCTCCCCCCTGCTGTCCTTCCAGAATATTGCTGGCCGGGCTTATACCTCTGAAGAAGGGATGGGGAAATCTAAGTGGCTCTAGTGTAGGAAAAAAGGCCTTCAACTATTCACATTTACTAGCCTCCACCTGTCTGTCAGTCACCCTGTGATGAACCTTGCCAGTCGAGGCTCAAGGCACAGAACTTGGAGCTAGCTTCAGAGCACCTCAAACTGTAACATGAGCAAACAGCAAGGATGAGCAGACGAGGGAAGCTTCCAACCCCGGAGAAAGCCAAACACGAAGACGCAAGGAATTCAGGACCCAGACAATGCTGAGAGGAAAAGGAAACATTTGAAAAGTTTTATAATTAATAGCCTCAGAGAGAGAATTATATCCATGAAAAAAAACAGGGCACTATTAAAAAGAAACCATCAAAGGACAAGAAGGTTTGTAAATTAATGAATGACAGCCAAATAAAAATGTGAAAGAATCATACGGTCTAGCTGGACTATCCTCAGTGGCACTGTGGTGGTGCAATGCTCCTCAATGTTGGAAGCCCTTTGGGAGATCAAGGTTCGGTTCCCAGGTCCACCCACCAGGAGCACGCATGTGGCCGTGACCCTGACTGGCTGGTAAGGCTGGAGGGAGGATCATGGTATCCTCACCCTGTTAGAGGTGCTTACCCCTCTTTCATCCTTCTTCTCTCCCTCCCTTTCTCAATGAAGAAACAAATAGGCTTATAATTTTAAAAACATTTGCAAAGTTAAAATGTTAGTGACTATGGATTTAACCAAATTTCACAATATGTGCAGAGGCATATGGAAGGAAAAGTATTATGGGTAAGAGCTGTTACTGTGACAGAATTAATTTGTTTCCTCATGTGACGGGAAGATAATAGATAATGACAAAAATTGGGTTTTTTTTTTAAATGTTTGCAGAGGGGGCTTGTTCTTGCCAGAGAGACAGAGATAGAGACAGAAAGGGAAAGTGAGAAAACACACTTTCTCGTCTATTTCTCCCTCCTTTCCGGATCCTGGGCATGCACGCTCGCCCAGCATGTTTTTCAAGCTGCCAGGTCCAGGACTTGAATCACATAGTTGATCTTGTGGGACCCACCTACCTTAACCACTATGCCATGGGCTGGCCCCAAAACTGCTTTCTAAGAGAAGAAAAAAAAAGTAAAAAAAAAAAAAAAAGACAGGGACCAGCAGGCGGTGTGGTGGATGGGGCACTGGACTCCCATGGTTCAAGTCCTAGACTGGCAGCTTGTTTTCTTACTTTCTCTCTCTAGAAAATTATAAAAATAAATTAAATAAATAATTCTTTAGAAAAGGAAATATGGAGGGACCAGCAGATGGCATAATGGTTACATTACTGGACTTCCACGTAGTTGACGGTGGTTCGAGTCCTGGACTCAGTGACTTAAAACTCATGCTGGGTGCATGTGCATGTGTGTCCAAAATCCTGAGGAGAATGAAGGAAAAGGAATTGTGGCGTGGCCGATGACTTCTTCCTTTCCGTCTCTCTGGCGAGCACATGTGCCCTATAACAAAAGTCTCTCTTAAAAAAAAAAAAGTTAAAGAAAATATGGAGATAAATCTGAGAGCAGTCAGCTCAACAGTTAAAGATGCTAACTGTGGGGTTACCAGGGAAGGGGAGGTAAATAGACGGTTGGCTGGGGTCTGCATTACAGCCCCCGAAGTACTGTTTGAGGGGGTTTGTTTCTGTTTTTTTTTTTTTTTTTTCTGTCATAGGGCACATGCACTTGCCAGAGAGAGACAGAGAAAGGGAAAGTGAGGAATGACTCCCCAGAGGGAGGGACACAGCACAATCCCTTCTTCTCTATTCTTTTTCTTTTTTTCAGAGGTTTTTACTGTAGGGTGCGTGCACTCACCAGAAAGACAGAGACAGAGAGACAGAAAGCAAGAAATCCCCCCCCTGGGGGGATACCCACGCCACAATCCCTTCTCCTCCATTCTCCTCTTGGGATCTTGGGCACGCATGCACACATGCCTGGCATGAGTCTAAGCCACCGGGTCCGGGACTCGAACCGCGGTCAACTACATGGGAGTCCAGCAACATAGTCTTTATGCCAACTGCTGGTCCTGCCTTCTCCATTCTGCTGTAGGGATTATGGGCATTCATGCACATACATCCGGCGTGATTTTCAGGTCACTGGGTCTGGTACTTGAACTGTGGTCAGCCATGGGGAAGTCTAGTGCCTTAGCTGCTATGCCACCTGCTGGCCCTTGAGGTTTTTTTTTTGAATAACGCATACTGAGGCATAATTTATATACCATGTAGTTTACCCATTTACAGTATATGATCCAGTGGATTTTAGTGCATTTATCACCATAGCTTCAACTTAGAACACTCTGTCCTCGCCACCCCAAAGAACTCCACTAGCAGTTACTGCCCATTTTCTCTCTTCCCTCCTCTGCTATGCTCCCTTCCACTCCTTGGTAGAAGAGAGCAGCAAACGAAATCATAGACTTGAGTCAGCAGTCTTGTTTCATACATCTCAATAAAATCCCCTGTGGGGCTGGCAAGTGGCGTGGTGGTTAAGGGCGCTGGACTCCCACATGGCTGTCTACGGTTTGAGTCCCAGACCTGGCAGCTTGTTTTCTCACTCCCACCCTCCCTCCATTTGAATCTGGTCAAATTTAAAAATAAATAATAAATAAAGTTAAATAAAAATAATTAAAAAAAAATAAGAAGTCTGCTTTTATGATACTCAAAGAGGCTTTAAAAATATTTCCTTGGGTTTGCCTCCAAGAACCAGAAAAATTCTATATCCTATTCAGCTGAAACATAATTTTGTAATCATACGAACATTTTGGTAGGAAAAATTAACCTTATCTTAAAATAAAGATGCTGTTAACATCCCTTTGGGGAAGGGATCTAAATGAAAAAAAAGTAATTATTTGAAGAAGGGATTCTATTGTAGACTAACACATACCTGGTATTCTCGATTTTTCTCCTGGTTTGCAGTTGCTTGAAAGAGCTTTTCACACACCTTTGGAATGATACCCTTGTTGGCACCACAGCCAATCATAGAATAGCTCTTGCCGGAGCCGGTTTGGCCATAGGCCAGCAGAGTAGCATTATAGCCTTGCCACGCGCTGTCCAGGATTCCCCTGCCGAGGTCGAGAAAAACATCTCTCTGGAAAGAGGATCACAGGTGTCATGTTCCGCACAGGCCAGTGGCACAGACAGCTCCTCTTCTCTAGTGTTCTCTAATTTTCACAGTATTACTAAAATTTAATAAATATTTTGCTTTCAGTCAATTCCACCTCACTTAGTATCAGATAGTCTACTAGAAAACACCACTCAGTTGCTGTGTTAGAGCAGTGGGCGGACACTGGGTACCAGAAAGGCATTGACGCTCGTGAAGCCATCAAGTCTGCCTTGAACTCGGTAGTATCTGTCAATAGTGATTTTGTGTACTGCACAGCCTCACTGAAACACAGGCTACGTCGTTAAAACTAAGCAATTAGGGCCAGCCTGTGACGTGGCGGTTAAGGAGGCTGGATCCCACCTGACCACATAAGTAGTTCAAGCTCCAGACCTACAAGCTTGAGGAACATGCCAGGTGCCTGTGTGTGCATGCCCAAAGTCCTCAAAGGAGAGAAAAAGGGAGGAGAAAGGATTGTGGCATGACCGTCCACTATGGGGGATGCTTTCTTACTTTCTCTGTCTCCAGCCAATGCCCATACCCTCTAGCAAAATTAAAAAACATAAACCATTAGATAAAAAATGTCAAGGCACCGGCACAGAGACCATTGAAACTGTTTTCAGATTCTCTGTCCTCTGACATCACCCATGCTGATTTGAATCCTCTGTGGGGAGCTCTCTTGGCTTTTCAGGAGCCCTAGAGGTTCCGAAGAATTTCTCCAACACACACACTCCCTTCTTGAACTGGGAGACAGAGGTGCTTTTATGCCCACAGTTGCTTGAAAGAGGAGGTGTGGTCTGGCTCCTTTGATTTGGGTCATGGCCAGACGCTCTCTTATCTGAGGCTGTTTCAAAGGATACACTCCTCCCTGCTCTCGCGTACACGATAAAGCCGTCAGTAAGCGTTACATGCTCCGTTTGTCGTATACATTTGTATAATTTATCTAATTTTTATTCCTGGGAATGATATACCAACTGAATGTGATTTTCATAAGGATGATAAATAATAGCCCATTTTCTTGTAGTGTTTTACTTAAGGGAATAAAAAGTCATCACACTAAGGGTTAGGGACACCTCGGCCCTAAAATGTAGAACCTGGTGACCATACCTCCCCAGAATGTGTGTATATGTAATGGATATAATAATAACTATTAAAGAGTGCTAACTAAGCTTAGTAAAGTCACTAGTTTTGTTGTCTTCTCAGTTCTATTGGAGATTTGGGAAAAATTTTTGGCCCTTTTTTTTAAATTTAAGGTATGTGCATGTGTCAGAAAGAAACAGAGAGAAAGCGAGAGACCACCACCCATGGGAGATGCTCATCCCACAGGCCTTTCCTCCACCTGCTTTGGGATTTTGAGCGTGACCATGCACACATATGCAATTGGCATGTTTTTCAAGCTGCCAAGTCTGGGACTTGGACTATGTAGTCAGTCCTGTTAAAATCCAGCCATCTTAGCCACCACACCATGGCTGGCCTGCCCTTCATTTTTATGGATCGAAAACTTCAGACAAATAGCACAGAATTTTAATTAATTAATGAAATCTTAGGTAGAGAATAGAATCATTTTATACATTTTGTTAGCTATACAGTTTCCCATTGAAATATCTTTTGAGTAATCAGTTATTTCTGTGTTAGATGAACCAAGAAGTCACAGTTTTGGATTTCTTCCTACTGTTGTCATCAAAAACAGGAAATATTTTCCTACACTATATTACATAAAACCATAATTCTGCAGTGTCTTAATAGGTGGTCAACAAAAACCAACTTAGGGATAGAAGGAGAAGCTGTTGACAAATGCTTGTCAATATAAATACATACATACATACATACATATATATAGTATAATTCTTTTTTCTTTTTTTTTTTAGAGGTTTTTGCTATAGGGCGCGTGTGCTCGCCAGACAGACAGAGAGAGACAGAGAGATAGAAAGCGAGAAATCAACCCCCGGAGGGGGGGCCACACCACAATCCCTTCTCCTCCATTCTCCTCTCGGGATCTGGGGCACACACGCCCAGTGTGAGTTTAAGCCACCGGGTCTGGGACACGAACCACGGTCGACTACGTGGGAGTCTAGCGACATAGCCATTACGCTAACTGCTGGTCCCAATACATAGTATAATTCTTGCAGTCTTTTGAAATTATCTTCATTGAAGCAAATTCAATAGTCATTAAAATCCACCTATTTTTACATATACAGTTTGATGAAGTTTGACTTGTTTTTGGTCATGTGACCACCACTGTAACCTCAGCCCAGCCACAGTTAGACAAGCAGCAAGGTGCTGCCACCTCAGGCTAGGGCCACTTGGGAGGCCCAGGTTCGAATCCTAGACAGATCTGATCAGGCCAGGCACACCAGTGTTCCTGTAACCCTTTCTTAACTGGGAGGCTGAGGCAGAGGATCTCAATGGCAAGACCTTGTCAAATATAACTCTACCTCTTCTTTTCTCTCTTTCTTCTCACCCCTCTCACTCATAAAAGGGGAAAAAAGATGTTTTTGTTTTATTTTAGTCACTGCAAAAAGTTGTCTTGTGTCATTTAGCAGTCAGACACTTCTTTCCACCTTCGGTCTGTGGCCACCACTGACTGGACTCCCATGTGACGGACCATGGTTCGAGTCCTGGACCCGGTGGCTTAAATGCCAGTCTTGCTGTTGTTGATGTTTTATAGTCTCTACACATATTTTGGTACATTTATGCTTAAAATTTTTGTATTTTTGATACTACAATAAATATTTTTAATGAACTTTTAATTTTATTTGTTATTATTATTAATCTGACCAGAGAGAGAGGAGAGAAAGAGAAAGTGAGAAAGCAAGTTGCCAGATCCAGGATTCCAATTGTGGTCGGCCACGTGGGAGTCCAGCACCTTAACCACTGCACCACCTGCCGGCCCCACTACAGTAAACATTTGAAAATTTCAACTTCCAGTTGTTCATCGTAGCTATAGAGAAATACTATTCATTTTTGCATATTGACCTTTCTAAATACACTTATTAATTGTACTAGTCGTTTTTTTTTTTTTGAGACTCCTTACATTTTTTTTTTAACATAGTCATGTCATTTGCAAATAGTTTTACTTCTTCCTTTTAAATTTGTGCATCTTTTAATTCCTGCCAAGTGGCTTATTACTCTGGTCAAGACCTTGTAGTGAATGTTGTATAAAAATAATGAGAATGGACATCTTTGCCTTGTTCCTTGACTTTAGGGAGGACACGTTTGTTTCACCATTAATGCGATGAAACCTATGGTTTTTAGGTAAGTTCTGTTTCTTTCTTTTTAAGAGAGATTTTTGCTATAGGGCATGCATGCATGCCAGAGACACACATAGAGACAGAGAAAATGAGAAATCACCCCACAGGGGGGATGGCCACACCACAGTCCCTTCTCCTTCATTCTCCTCTTGCGATTTTGGACATGCATACACACCCAGCATGGTTTCGTCACCAGGCCAGGGACTCAAACTGCAGATAGCCATGTGGGACCAGTGCCTTAACCACCATGCCACCCACTGGTTCTACTTCTAGTAAGCTCCCTCATTTCAAACTTGCTGAGAATTTTCATTAAAATTGGGTGTTGATGGGACCAGCAGTTGGCGTAATGGCTATGTCGCTGGACTCCCATGTGGTTGACCGTGGTTCAAGTCCTGGACCCGGTGGCTTAAACTCACACCGGGCATGTGTGCATGCGTGCCCAAGATCCCGAGAGGAGAGAGGAGAAGGGATTGTGGCATGGCCATCCCCCCTGGGGGGTGATTTCTCACTTTCTATCTCAGTTTCTCTCTGTCTTTCTGGCAAGTGCACGCACCCTAGAGTCACCAAACACCTCTTCAAAAAAAATAAATAAATAAATTGGGTGTTCAATTTTGTCAAATGCTATTTGTTTTGCATCTATGTGTATTATTCTCCTGTATTCTGTTCATATGATGAGTCATATTGATTTTCAAATGGTAAATCAATCTGATAGTCCTAGGAAGAGCCCCATTTAATAGTGATAAATATTATCTTTTAAATATATTATTAAATTCTATTTGCTGAAACATTGTTAATTTTCATGCCTATGTTGATGAAGGATGTTGGTCTGTAGTGTTATAAAGTATCTTCGGCTGTTTTGGTATAAGATTGCCCTCATAAAATGAGATGAGAAGTGTCCTTTTACCTTCTGCCAGACAGGCTGGTTTTGGTAGAATAAATAATTCTTTCTTTGGTAGAATGTTCCTGTCATCTGGGTCTAGAGTTTTCTTTGTGATATTTTTTGACTGCTGCAGATTTGATTTCTAAAATATAAGGGCCATATGAGCTATTTACTTCAGTAGCTTGTGACCATTTCATCTGTGCTGTTAAATGTATTGACATTAAGTTCTACATAATATTCCTTTATTACTTTTTTTTTTGAGAGATTTTTGCTCAAGTATGTGTGTGCTTTCCAGAGAGACAGAAGGTGAGAAGTCACCCCCCAGGAGAGATGGCCATGCTGCAATCCCCTCTCCTCCATTCTCCTCTCAGGATTTTGGGTATGTAGGCACATGTGTTTGGCATGAATTTTAAGCTACTGGGTCTGGGACTCGAACTGCAATTGGCTATGTGGGAGTCTAGTTCTTATTACTCTTTTAATGTCTATAAGATCTGCAGTAATGTCTAATTGTTTTTATTCCTGATCTTGGTACTTTGTATTTTTATTTTCTTGATCCATTTGGCTAGAAGTTTATCAATTTTATTGATCTTTTCAAAGAACTGGTTTTTGGATTCACTAATTTTTCTCTGTTGTCTTGTTTTATAATTGCTGCTTTTATATTTCTATTTTCTTCCTCTGTTTCTTTTGTGTTTCATTTGCTCTTCTTTTAAATCTTTAGGTGGAAGCTTAGAATGTTGATTTTAGATTTCCTTTTCTAATATAAGCTTTTATGCTATAAAATTTCCTCTAAGCCCTGCTTTAAACACATTCCATGTTTTTGGTGTGGGGGTGGGTACTAAATGATTATTTCCTTGGCT